TCAGGCAATTCTCCTGCCTCAGCCTCCTGAGTAGCTGGGATTATAGGCACGCGCCACCATGCCCAGCTAATTTTTTGTATTTTTAGTAGAGACAGGGTTTCACCATGTTGACCAGGGTGGTCTCGATCTCTTGACCTCGTGATCCACCCGCCTCGGCCTCCCAAAGTGCTGGGATTATAGGCGTGAGCCACCGCACCTGGCCTCCTGTGAATATGTTTTGAATTAATATGTAATGTTAATATCACTGATGGGGAGGTACAAGTTTTTGTAGGATGATAGGAAGGACAGATTTGTGTGCGGTTAGGGGCTTGTTTAGAGAAGACTTGGCAGAAAATGACATGCATAAGATCTACAGTCTAAATGAAGACTAAAGGATGAAAAAAGTAGGGAGTTCACTAGTGCTCAAGTGCTGTGTGAGTATGTGAGAAGGGAAGTGGTGAGAATAGAGGCAGTACTATTTCAGGTCTTGAAGGACCTTGTAAGCCATGACATTAAATTGATGACATCCTTTTCTTCTGCCAGTTGATGACATCCTTTTCTTTCCCCCATCTAGGTGGCCCACAAACTCTTTAACAACTTGAAATAAATGTGTGGACTTACTCACCCCAGCCTTCATCATCTGGGCATCAGGATATTTCCTTATGGTTTTGGATATACCATTTGTTTCTTCTTATCTGTGTAACTGTAAGTTCACATGAATCTTGTGGATTTTGGCTTAGGCTGGTAGCTTCTATGTAATTCACAGTGATTCCATCTTAATAAAATTTCTGTGATCTGCAAACCTGTCCCCTGTTCTTTTTTTAAAAATTGATAATTCTTTTTTTTAATTTGAAATTTTATTTTCTTTTGGGGGGACTGGGGGCAAGGGGGACAGGGGCTCAGTTGGCCAGGCTGGAGTGTAGTGGCACAAACAGCTCATTGCAGCCTCCACTTCCTGGACTCAGTTGATCCTCTCACCTCTGCCACCAAGGAGCTGGGACAAGAGGCATTCATCATCATGCCCAGTTAATTTTAAAAATATTTTTAAACATTATAAGAATAGATATACCCATTACCTAGCAAGTATGTATGTCTTGATGAGAGCTGGGTCTGGAACAATGGCTTATACCTGTAATACCAACACTTGTGGAGGCTAAGACAAGAGGATCTCTTGAAGCCAGGAGTTCAAGACCAGACTAGGCAACATAGTGAGATCTTGTCTCTACAAAAATAAATAGATGGGTGTGATGGTGTTCTCCTGTAGTCCTAGCTACTTGGGAGGTTAAGGTAGGAGGCTACCTTAAGCCCAAGAGTTCGAGGGTTACAGTGAGCTAGGATCACTGGGTCTGGGACACATAGTTAGGCTGTTTTTGTTTTGTTTTGTTTTGGAGATGGGGATCTCGCTCTGTCGCCCAGGCTGGAGTGCGGTGGCGGTGTACTCTCGGCTCACTGCAGCCTCCACCTCCCAGGTTCAAGCAATTCTGCCTCAGCCTCTGAGTAGCTGGGACTATAGGTGCATGCCACCACACCCAGCTAATTTTGTGTGTGTGTGTGTGTGTGTGTGTGTGTGTGTGTGTGTGTTTTAGTAGAGACAGGGTTTCTCCGTGTTGCCCAGGCTGGTTTCAAACCCCTGAGCTCAGGCAATCTGCCCACCTCAGCCTCCCAAAGTGGTGGCATTACAGACATGAACCACTGTACCCAGCCAAGACCCTGTAGTTTTTTGAAAAAGAAAAAGCCAGGTGGGGTGGCTCGCACTTGTAATCCTAGCACTTTGGGAGGCTGAATTGGGAGGATTACTTGAGGCTGGGAATTCGAGGCCAGCCTGGGCAACATAACAAAGCTCTGCTTCTA